AATTCTTTCTAAATATTACCAAAATATTGCCAATCTTTTCTAAATTGTTACAAAGTATGTTGCACTGATTTGGTTGAGTTGTATTCTTTCGTTAAATCATGTAAAATCTCCTTTTTTGGAAGCTTTTGACGATCAGAACGTTAATTTTCTGAGGGAATATTTTTTTATATAATACAAAATTAATAAATATATTTATTTATATTTAATTTTTTATAGGTTAATTAATAAATATATATATTTTCTTTCTACGTAGTAAACTAGCCAATATTTTTTAGATTTAAATAAATGAATGACATTGTAAATTAAAAATTATAATTATAATAATACAACAATAATCAAAAATGTTTTAAATTTTGTTGTAAATATCCCATCCTCTCTCCCTTAAAAAAATTACAAAAATATATATTAAAAAAAAAAAATCCTAGTAATTACAAAAGGTAAAAAATCTATTTTAATTGATCAATCTTATCGTGAGATATAATATTTTTGTCTTTTGTTTTACTCACTTTTTTTACAATACAGTTCTATAAAGTTCATATACATATATATCTTTATTTTTCATTAGATAATTAAAATGTGAATTACTCAACATCGATATCACCAACTTCATTACGACCATTGATGATAATATTATTATCATCATCACTCAATACGAGAGCCTCATTAAAGTTATTATCAAAATTATTATGATTATAATTATCACTATCATTAGCATTATCAATATTATTACTAACTCTAGCAGTGATAACTTCATTTTCATTTTCGCCACCTTCAGAATTATCATCACCACCAGTTCCATCTGCTTCAGAAACAGTATTATCATCAGTATCACCATTACTATTGTTCGCTTCTATGTTTGTATCTCCATCAACTTGATCATCTGTATTGTTAGTACCACCAGGCACATTTGCTCCTCCTTGTTGCTGTTGTTGACTTGAAACTATGGTTTTTAAACACATTCTTAAATCCTTGACTCCTTTACCACTAAAAACACAAAAAACTTGTTGTTGATGAACTGTAAACTCTTTTGGTGGTTGTCGACAATTTCTTTGTATATCTGGCCTTAGAAAAGCAGGTACGCCGGTCAAAGATAGATGTGTTAAACGATGACAAGAATTAACTAATTCTGAAACTGCTGGAATTGTAAGTCGCGCACAATATGACAGATGCACACGTTCTAAAGTGTGTATGACTACCCTGTTTTCAATTAGTGCATAAATGGCTCGATCAGTAATCAATGCACATTTCACTAATCCGATACGGCGAAGTTTTGGAAGGTGTGATAATTCAAAAACTGATTTGTCTGATAAAAGGATACAACAAGCAAGGTCAAGATATCTTAACCTAGTACAATGACGTGCCAATTGAATTATAGACTCATTTGTGATATTTGAACAATGTCCTAAATGAAGATAGTGTAAATGTTTGCCCAATCTTGTAATATAATTAACTCCCTCATCTGTAATATTGGTACATTTGGCCAAAACAAGATTCCTTAGTTTTGGTGAACAATAAACTATTTTTTTTATTGCTTGATCAGTGATCAATGCACATGATGTAAGATCGAGAACACGTAATTGTTCAAATGGAATTGGCATTTTTTTGATAAAAGGCTCGTCAGTCAAATATGTACAATAAGCAAGTCGGAGTTCTCTTAGTTGAGTACAATTTTCAAAGACTGGTTGAATTGCATCATCTGTGATTTGGTGACAATTGGTGAGATCCAATTCTAATAAGTGATGACAATTTTCAGCTAGTTCAATAACAGACTTGTCAGTAATATTCTCACAATTGCTTAATTTTATCTAAATATAAATATATAAGAGCACGTTAGAGAAATACTATTTTGATTTTTTATATAATTAACTAATAAAAAAACCCGATCTAAAAATGTATGCGTTTATGTATTTTTAAGTATCACTTACTCTTCTCAAGCCTTTACATTTTGATGCAACGGCTACAATTCCTCTATCAGAAATATTTTTGCACAAGCTTACATTCAAACCTTGCAATCTTCTACACCGTTCACCTAACAATTCGATTACAACATCAGTCAAATTTTCAATATCTGATACATCCAATGCTACCAGCCCTTCAGTTTTATCTAATAATTTTAATAAACCTTCATCCGTCAACTTTCTACATCCTGCAAGTGTCAACCTTTCTAATCTCTCACATGTGCTTAATCTAGCAAGAATCAGATCACTAAGATTTTCTCCCAAATAAGAAAAATTAAGGCGACGAATAAGAAGTGAATAAGGAAAAGTTTGAGTTGTTCGTGCTATTGTTACAAGCAATCTATGGAGAGAAACATTTTCACTAAAAACAGGTTTATGCCATAAAAGTTCAACTCCACACCTACACCATGATTTACAAACTAAAATACATGACTTTAAATCTGTCGTAGTTGTAACAAATTTGAATATATGAAGTATTAGTTCTGATGGTATGATCGTTGCTATGCTCAGTTGTTTTTTATGAAATTGAATTTGTTGTGTATTTTGTAATAGGCTTATTTCTGTTGGATTAAGTTCAGATGTCATTGTTTAGAGTTATTTATTTGATTTGTTTATTAAGAATTCTTCAAATACCAATATCCGAAAACCTATTCAAAAAAATTAATAGTTAATAATCTTTGAAAAAATGTTGTATATAAATAATTATAAAATTAATAACAACCCAAAATTATTAATAAATAATACTAAATGTACTAAATGATAACGTCTATATAAAAGTTTAGGAAAAAAATTTTATGTTATTTTTTCTTCTATTACTATATAAGCAATCAAACTTTTTATATCTGAATTTAGTAAGACAAAATTTGTTGCATGAAAATCTTAAATTAAATAATAATGGATACTTTCCTACGAATTTTTGATAGTGGCAAATTTCTTGATGACATTACACGAGACATTAAATCAAATACAAATCATGCTTGGACGGTAGAAAAGAAATAATTATCTCTTTATTTTTTTATTTAAAAAATATATCTCTAAAGATACAATTATTCTTAGCAATCTTCAGAATCATATAAATCACTGATCGAAAAGTCTAATGATATACACTTTAGAAGCTTGTCGAGGGTTTCTTTAGAAATTTCAAAATTAATTAAAATAGTGGAGAGGAAAGAAATTATTGATTTACTTGAAAAGTATCTAAAGATTGTTTTTTGAGGGTTGATTAATTATTATTAATTGTTGATTATTATAATCAATATAATTAATATTAGTATCAATCTTTGTGTGTAGAATTCATATTTTTTCAATTGATTTGTTTTTATATTGGGAAAAATGTCCATTAAGCCAGATTTTAAAAGAAGATTCATTAGGTGATTATTGAAATCTAATTTAATTTTGTATTATAAATTTTTTCAAATATTATTTATTAATTGAATGCTCGTTACAGATCAAGAAACTAGAAAATGCACGCCGTTATTATGGAAAATTCTCAAACCTCTCCTCTTTTCAATTACTATGATATTTAGAGCTATAGTCGCACGTTCTATTTTAGAATATCATGAGAACGAAGTACAAGGTTAACATGATAATTATATTTGTTATTATTATTTCCATCAACTTAATTTAATATAATGTGAGATACTTATTAACATATTTATTTATTATTAATAAAATAGAAAGAATTCTGATTCTTTCAACATTCTCACATCTTTATTTTATAACATTGCGTTTCTCCATCTATGGATTTCCTACATATAAAGTAGTACTTTTCGCTGTTCTAGACAAAGTTAAGAGTGATCATAAAGAGTTGGAAAACATTCTTAATATTTTAAAGCCCTCTCCTCCTTCTAATAAAGATAAATCAACTGAAACGAGCAGATTTGTTTTCTATTTGTTGGTAATTGAACAATCTATGAAAGAATTGGATGATGAAATAGTAGAAAATGAAATTTTACCTTTTATTTATCCGTATCCTTTTATTTATATATATATACGTATATGCGCTTTTTAATTATCATTCGATGTCTTCTTTAACTTTTTATAAAATCAAAAAAAGATATCTTAAAGACAAAAGTGAAATTCGACTATATGAATCAGTACATGTTGTAATTTTAGCGATGTTTTCTACAAAAAAAAGAATCTCACCCAAATTAAGTCCATTTTACTGTAATTTATTACTTCAGGTAAGATTATATATTTATATATATATATATATATATATATATATGGTGAATGATAATACATTAAATTTATTAATATATATATATATATACACACACATACAATATATTAGGCATATCCAGATTTATTAACAGTTGGTCAACTTCGTGCTGCATATTCAATTGTAATTAGATCTTTATCAGAAACTGATGATGCTTTAGCATGGGTTTGCTTAGAAAAACTTATTAAAGCAATCGAAGATCTTCCAACAACTGACAACATATATAGTGACACTAACTCTAATATTATTCATTCCATCAACAATATATTAAAAAAAAATAACTCTTCTTCTAATAACAATTTACAACCAACAAATTCTCCTTTTATTAATCAACTAATTAAATCTAACAATGAAAAATTTATCATCGAATCAGCAGCTTTATTATTTCATAGAGGTCATCTGCTTCTCACTCTTATTGATCAGATCAAATCTGTCAATTTGATATTTTTGAAAACTTTATTATTAAAAATCAAAAATTTCTTAACTAATGAACCCAATAGTATTTCTAAAAATGCAATACAGAAGGTTTTATTCGATGCACTAAGTACAGAACTTGATTATACAAAAAAAGAAGCTGGTGTTAAATGGTGGTTAACTGAAGGTGTAAATATTTGCAAATTATAAATTTTATATTTATATTGATTTTTTGACTGTAATTTAATAATCAGAATGCAAGGATATGTAATGTTTCATAGTCTGTTTTTTAAGGCCTGGTTAAATTAACTATCTAATAAATTAATTGATCTTAACTACCCAATAAAAGTGTCAGTCACCCATGAACTTGATTTTATTGATACGCCTTCATTATTGTTTCTAGTACCAAGGACTCAAATGCTTTTGCTCAACCGAATCTCCCATCCTTTAAAAGCAATATTGAGGACAATTGACAAAAAAGAAAGTTATAAAGAGCATTGTTGATTCAAAATATCAGTTTTGTGTTCTTGTAGTATGATGTTCTTTCATAATTTTCAATTCCTTTTGTGATCCAATAGTTGAATTGGCAAACTTAAAATAAAGAAGGTGGTTTGTTATTAATAATATTTTGTAGTATGGCTTTGGGGATGAGGTAGATGTTTCATTATGTGTTGATGATGATTGTGATGTTGATATTGGATCAATTTGAAGAATTGGAACTTTATTTGTATTCAAGAGATAATTTATCATCATATTTTTGTAATGCAATTACTTAATGCTCTAGCGTTTTGACCTCATAAATATAGCCTGCTTAATAGAAACGAGAAATGTTGTCCAAAAGTCAATTTTCAGTTAATAACACTTACATGACCTTATTTGTTTGGAAACATTACTAATAAAATAAAACAAAATTAAAGTAAACAAAGACATGATGTTTTTTCACATAAAACTTAATAATAAAGTAAAATTTTAATGAGAAATAAAGTTTACAAAGAGAAATGAAGTAAAATTTCATTCAGATTAAAAAAAAAAAACGATTAAATTGTTATTATTGTTATCATGACAGTGGTATTATTTATTTTTATTTACATACTGGAAAAAAAACAAATTTTCCTAAAAAAACTTTTTTTTTTCCCTGGATTTGATGAGCATTTTCCTTTAGTGGTAGAAGAAGCAGCAGTAGAATTAATTTTTTCATTCTTGCTCTTATTTTTTTTGCTTCTTTTTCTAGGTTTTGAATTAGTTGGTGAAGCCAATTCTGTATAGTCAATAATTGAATCACTATCAAAGTAGATTGTAATTACCAAATTATTAGTAATAATCACATGATTAAATAATTATTAAATTTAAATATATTTGAACCTTTGACATGGACTTTTTGAAGTTAATATATTTTTTGGTATCGGTTTTGAATCTGAATTTTCATCTTTAGTTTGTAGTTGAGTCGAAGGATTCATGGAAATATTTTCAGGAGTTTCTGATTTTGATTTATTGAGGCGATATGAAGATGAAGATGACAGAGTCTGTAATTAACCAATTAATCAATTAATCAATTATTATTGCTAATTTATTATATAACCCCATATTTCTAAACTTACCGTTGTTAAATCACCAATAGTTTCCATATGACTTGATCTTTTATCTAATTTCAAAAAATATTATATTATAGATATGATTACATAATATCAATATTGATAATAGTCACTTTTATCTACCTCTTACTAAAAAATCTTTATCATTGACCCCATCGTTGACTTCAGCGTTGACTTTATCGTTGTTTTTATCATCATTGTCTTTATCATCATCTTCGTCGTCAACTTTATTTTTTTTTTCATCAACGTCATTTTCATCTTCATTTTTGTCATTCAATTCATCATTTAGAAATTCTGATAATTCATCATACACGTAATTTATGTGTGGTCGATTTTCAGGTTCATCATCCCAACAATCTTGATATAAATCGATAAAATAGTCGGGTACACCTTCAGCGGGTAATTCTCTTTTATTCCTGATCATTATTGAAACTGTTAATACTACTTGATTTTTTGAGTCATCAAAAGGTATTTTATTAGTAGATATCTCCCATAAAACCACACCCAAACTATAAATATCTGATTTAAGATGATTCAAGTATTCATCATCATCATTTTTTTTTATCTGTTGCTGTTGTTCTCTTAGTTTTTGAAGATTGTGAGTGCGAGGGCTTGATCTTTTAGCAAACGTTTGTGGATCTATGTATGGTATTATGCCTGGCACTGAAATTTTGTATGATGGTGTTGTTGAGGATACGGCGTCATCCTCATCAAATGAGAAAAGATTTGGATTATGTAGAAGAGCTCTTGAATCATTTATAAATATATGTTGAGGATACTATATCAAAATATTAATATTAATATTTATGTAGTGAATATAGATGAAATGATGATACCAATTATAATAATAATTGTAATTTAATGATAATTATAATACCAACCAATTCCCCATGAAATATATCATTATCGTGTAGAATTTTTAATCCAGCTGCGATATCTTTTGCCAATCTTAATTTATCAACCCATTTTAAATTTTCTTTATTCTTGGCCAAGTATTCTCTCAAGCTTCCATCGTTAGTATATTGTAATACTAAGAAATAATTATTTTTCTCTTTATCTAATTTTAAAATGATTATAATGATTATAATCATGATTGCGATTGTGAACTGTATCTCTGATATATTTATTTTTTCCGATTCTTTGGTAATATAAATTTCAAAATGTTTCCTTTACCTTGACTGACTCCATAAAATTGAATAATATTTTCATGCTTGGATTGTTGTATAATTTGATTATTCTATATATAAATATATATTGTGTGGTATTATGTAAAAATTATAATATAAGTCTCAATTATTATTTGTAGTATTTATTGCATATAATTACCCTCTCATTGATTTTCTTCAATTGATATTCTAAATCATTTATAAATTTTAGATAAATATATTTCTCTTCTTTCTTCCAATATGCTTTCTTAATCAAACCATAACATTCTGTATTTAGTGTAATTATATCCTCAAATTCTGTATAATCAATTAATCTAACATTGTTATCATTTATAAGGGAAGAAAAAATTTTTAAATTTGTATTATTTTCTGTTGTTGTTGTTATAATATTATTGTTTTTTTTGACACTAATTTTGGTAACGTTGATAGTTTGAATTTTTAATTTTGTTGTGGTTGGTGATTGCGGAAATAGAATTGGCTCTGTCATTTTTTAATTGATAAAAAAAAATAATGGGAGGTGATTATTAATATTAATTTAGTTAATGAAGAGGCTATTTTTGTATATATAATAGGCAAAGCATCTTTATTATTATTAATAATAGTCGGTTATATTAATAATATAAATCATATTGAAACAGGCAAAAAAAAAATTTAATGCCTAAAAATAGCGATAATAATAATAGATGGATAAACCGTTATTATGTTTTGAGAAAATTAAAAAAAAAAAGATTGCATTTCAAGTAATTTTTTGCTATCATATTTAAAACTTTAAATGGAAAATTTTATTTAGTGAATAGAGTTTATTTTATTTGGTGAATAGAGTTTCTAAGCCAAAAATTACATGAGGAGTTTGATATTAAAAAATTGCATATGGTGCGAAATTAAAAATTTTAAATGATCTTTCTAATTAAGCAATCCGATTTCCTTTTTTAGAAAGATTTTTTTATGTAACAGAAATTTTCCAAGTCGATCATCAGCCTTTTAGGCCGAAGTTTTACAATTTACATATTGTTCAAAACTTTTCTAAAGCAAACTGATGGAAATGATGCCCAGGCCTTTTTTTAGCCTAATTCTATTGGTTTGCTTTTTTCTTTTTTTCTAATAAAAGGTATGAGCTTTTAAAATCATGTGGTAATCATTGTCCATTATGCACTGTATATTATTCTGTTCTCATTCTTTTTCTTCTTTTCCATATCCCATCTTTTCTCTTTTTTACTATACTATCATCCCTCCTATTTTCATCGAATAAGTATAACCACAAACATAGGGGAAATTAATCAATTGGGGCTTTTCAATAAAAACGGACCATGTTGTAAAAATGATGTTTTGAGAAGGTTAAAAAAAAGATTTGTATTTTAAGGAGTTTACTAACTTAAAGAATATTTTACTATGAATTGCTTTTTTCACAACATGCATGATCTGTTTCTATTGAAAAGCCCCCAGTTAGTAAGGATTTTTGTACACATACATGTAAATATGTTGATCAAATTTTTAACTAAGCATAATAGCCACAAAAAAAAATCTAGAAACCTGTTTATTATGATTTTTTAAATATATATATGTATTGACAATTATTTAGAATTTATGTATGTTCAACATCAATGTTATATTCATAAACGTGACTCTATTGTGTTACAAAGAGATGTCTCGCAAGCTCAAAACATTTTTCAAAATTAAATAATCTTGTCTGTATGAGAAGTTAGAACAGTTTATACAAAGACGGGGGTTTTTTTTTAATTAAATAAATAAGGTGATTTTAACAATCGGAAACTTGAAACGTTTATAACTTTTGAACCAAAATAGCCACGAAAATGCTTGGTTTTTTTTGTTTATTATGATTTTTTAAATTTTGCATTAGTAGGCATCTATGACGAAAATTGCATTTTCAATACGAAGATACGTTAATGTTGATAAATATGGTTCTGTTACATTGTAGTTGCATGCTCAAAACATTTTTCAGTCTCACCTGTATAAACGTTTTCTTTGGGTTTATGGAAATGATCAACAAAAATCTTTATTTTATATTTATATCCAACGCCCCAATAATGCATGTTCTGCGTGTTATTCAAAATTTTGTATATTATTAATTTTCTTTTTCTTTTTATAAAAATAATATTCACATTGCAAGCATGCTATCTGAGTTTGTCTAATTAACCTATACTGGTAACCTCGATACAATTCTTGATTTTTTATGGTGAACGTCGCTGACGTGGAAATCTTTTATCAATAAACATAATGCCTTTGATATTTTGCGCAAGAGAATGGCAAATTGTAATGGTAATACAGTCATTGCATTTCTTGTCAACATCACGCGAGCATGCCCCAGGCCCTGTAAAAGAATTGCAAGGTGGTGAACATTGGTGAGTTCCGTACATCCTCAGTCTGTTATTTGTGTGATTGGCGGTTCGATAAGCACCAAAAATTCTGGTCTGTTAGAGCCTGCAAATCAGTCAGACTGATACATTAGAATCGAAATGTTAATGCTACCCGTGACATAAGGAACAATTTTTTGCACACGAACACTTGTGGAGAGACCTGACTCGTTTATAAGGAGGACTTGCTGGCCTCTCTGCTGCCATTTTCAATTGTGGCAGGGTATGTCTGGCTTGTGGCAGCAGACTTTTATTGGGGTTAATCACAATGGTTGATCATCAAAAATAATAAACATCATCGGATTTTTTAAACGTTATTTTGAAAATTTTGTGACACTCTAAAATAGTAAATTGACAACTTTGAACCTTTACAAAAAGTTTTTTATTAATATAAATGAAAAAAACTCTCTGATCTGTTATTAATTGAGCGTTTGGAAATAAAGTCGCAGAAAGATTATTCCCGGAACTTGTTTGGTTATTGAAATTTATCTAAATTCCATTTTATTGTAAAATCAACAAAATTGATTAAACCTTTACAAAAAATTTTTTTTACTAATATAATAAAAAAAAACTCTCTGATAGACTATTGATTGAATGTTTGGAAATAAAGTCGCGGAAAGATTATTCCCACAGCCTGCTTGGTTATTGAGCCTTTACGTTTTAAAGTTTATCTAAATCTTCAATGATTTTACTATATAACATTAAAAAATCCGCACATAGTAATTTTGGATCTTCCTGGTTTAGTGTAACAAAGGCTCTAAATGTTGTACAATGTTAATATACTTTCTTCAATTTCGGTTACACATGATAAATATGTTCATATAAAAGATTTAAAGAGTTGGTTTATAAAATTTATAAAAAAACGCTAATAAGAAGAATTTATTATTTTAACAAAAAATGGTTTTATCAATTGGACAAATTCTTTATTTTTCTTTGTTAGTAATAAATGCAATGGCTGTATTAAACGAAGAAAGATTTTTAGCAAGGAGTAAGTTCTTCCTTTTAAAGTATTAATAATTGATAATTTGCACTACTAATGCATATATATATATTATTTATATGAAAAAAAAAAGTTGGAATGGGTGGTCAACCTGAACCTGGTTTTGGTGGGGAAGGTCCATCACTTAAAACAAATTTAATCAATCTTATATCGGCTGTAAGGACTTTGATGAGAAGTAAGCATTCAATAAAAATTATTATGACTATTAAAAAATAAATAAATATAGTATCTAATTTACTAAAGAAAATTATTCAACCAATTTTATATATAGTCCCTTTAATTGCTGTGAATATTTTTGTTATAGCATATGAACTTTTATTGGGATGAAGAGAAAAAAATATCGTTTATAATAATTTATTATTTATTTAATTAAATATTGTATATTTATATACATATATGACACATTTGTAATGATAATAATTATAGCATATGCTTTATTATTAATTTTTTAGTTGAATAATTGATTTTATTTCAGAATATCTTGTACGAGCTAATTGTATACATATTTTTAATAATTCTTGTGTACAAGAAGCTCCTCCAATTTTCAGAATATTACAAAATTTACCATTTTCATCACAAATAATAGTAATTTTTTCATCAGCTATAGATTCCTCTATTTCAGTTGGATCTGCTAACAAATATTTACTAAAAAATGTAAAAATAATAAAATGTTAGAGATATATTTTTTTGGGGGGAGTCAGTCATATAAATATATATATTATTAATTATGACTTGCCCATCAAATATACTAAATGTTGCAGAATAAGGTAATCTTTCAAAATTCAACATAGTTTCACGTTCTTCTGTAGCTTTAACCATTCCATCTTCATAAGTTGCTTTTCGAAGTTTTACTAAATAATCATTATCGTTATTACACTATTAACGTTTACATTAATTGATCTCACAAGTTAATTTCCCCAACACTTACAATTATTTAATGCAGTGATAAAGGCTATTACACACGCATCAAAAATATTTCCATCATAGTTAATGCATACAAGATCTGCATACAAAACCCATACTGCCTTACTTTCTTCAATACATAAACATTCCAAATCTAATATTGATGACCTTTTTCAAAAAAAAAAAAACATGTAAAATCTTTTTGGTTTTCTAAACTCTATCAAAATTTTCTTTGCTTGCTTACTCTTTTACAAGTCTGTATAAACTTTCACAAAGTACTTGTGCTTGTTCACTTGGTGGTCCAGGTTTAAATTTTGGTGAACAAACTGGTGAAAGTTCAACATTTGGAACTATTATAATAAAAAACCAATATCAATTGATTGCCCATCCACCATCCATCCATCCATCCATCTATAAATCAAATTATGTAAAAAAAAAAAGGAAAGATATGTACCTAGATAGCCTTCACGAGGAGTATCAAATTTAGGTTCTGCTACTTCAGCTTTTATACCACAAACTACTGTTGTATTACCAATACGAATCATCGAAGATCCATCTGCTGTTGTTATACATCCTATTTGTTTTTTTAATTATAAGATCATTATATATTTATATGTATCTATATATCTATATATATATCTATAAGCTTTGATTTATCTTTACCTAAGTTAATGTTAGTTTTACGAAAAGCATTAAAAGATCTGCCATCAGGTCTAATATTTTGTTGTACAAATTTTCTTAAATATTCTTGAGGTTGTATTCTACGAAATGTATCTGCTCCAAAAGCAAACTGAGCTTTAGAGGCTGCTGATTTATCGTCTGTTGTTATATTACTCATATTTACACTAAATTTTTTTAACACCGAGTCTGTGTTCAGTTTATTAAAAAATTTTGATGATCTCGACCAAAAAAAAAGCATGTACTTTGACACTAATTATCTTACCATTGATGATTGTACAAGCCTAGTCTGCTGAAACCACCATACACAAAAGCCTGCAGTGAACAATACTAATTAGTCATTTCAACTATACAATATCTTCTATGCTGTTTCCACCACCTCTTCAAGCATGGCCTTTTATACGAGAATTAGCTCCTATACCAGCTATCCTGATTAGCATAACTGGTATATAGGACAAATGAATGTGATTTTGGCATTCGTGTGGTTATTTATTATACATGTGATCAAAAAATATTGAATTGGGTCATGCAATTAACAATTCAAAGAACGCAAGACGATTTCCGGGAATGGTACAGTCACGTGATTTTTCATAATAACTTTTGCTATTATTTACAAGGCATACGGGTTGATTTACGATATGTTTTTCCAATACTATGTTATATATGTTTTCCAATCATATGTAAATTGTGAGGATCTAGTACGAATAGAAAAAAAGTACTAAAAGTTTTTCTTTTTTTACAAACAAAAATTTATTTCCATTCACTACTATTTTATGAACAATTGGAGGAGTTTTTTATTATTATATAGTTTGTTTATATAAATTATATAAATTGGGCGGCCAATTTAAAGGTAAATTAGTAAATTTATTTTAATGCTGAAATTTATTATATATATTAATATATATTTTCTAACGTGAAACAAAACAGGATGAGAGATATATTATTCTGCAAATAATTAAAACATTTGGGATTTTATAGATAACTTGCATTTTAAATTAGCATTAAAGTTGATTAAATAGATTTTGGTTCATAAAAAAAATTTTTGAGAGCATTCCTTCAAACATAACGAATTTCAAAACTGCGGAACGATACACACACGGCTTTGCCTACATGGAAAAAAGGACAGGTAAGTTTAACTTGATACACGCAGACGTTCTTGGTTGTACGATTTGGTCATGAAGTGTCAGTTTTTATAAATGAAATTATTAACAATTGGATTAGCCTTTTATTATTAGTTTGTTAATATATATATATCAACTAAAGGTAAATAATTAAGAATCTATTTTAATGCTGAAATTTGTTATATTACTATATTATTATATGTATCTAATGCGCAAATGAATTCTAGTAAAAATGCTTTAGTTTTGTCTTGATGACAATGATTTGTTCAAATTCTGCCCTCCATCGATAATGAAATCTTGTATTGAAGTTTTCGCTTGTCTTATAAAAATAGATAGATATCAATCTAATAATAATAAATAATAAATGGAATTAATTATGATATTAATTCATTTATTGCCACCCTCAGGCAATTGTTACCACAAAATAGTAAAACTGGTAAAACGATTTAATTATTGAATTAATTATTTTTTTTTCATATATGATTATTTGTCAGAGTAAAACTGATGCTCTCACTTGACAATGCTAATTAATGAATACTATTATTACAGTCAAAGCTCACTAAATTCATAGGCCTGCACAGCAAATTTTATGAATTTATCGAATTATGCCATTATCTTGAATTTCATGACTTTTTTCTATAAAAAAGATAAAATTTTTGATAAAAAAATTTATTGAAATTATGAAAAATTCCCAATTATTATTAGCTAAAGGCACTTCGCAAATTCACTTTTTATACGTAATAGTAATATTTTAACCAAAGTGCGAGATTTTTTATATGATGCATATAACAAAAATAAGAGACTTATTATTTTATCGATTATCGAGATATTATGAAATCATCCAATAGAATTTTAATATAACTGAATTTAGGCGATTATGAATTTATCGAATATGGATTTAACGAGCTTTGCCTGTATTAAACAAAGAAGATAAAATACGTGACATCTAATTAAACAGATTATAGCTACCAACTATTTGATTGTTATAATTGGTATAGAATCATTATAAATTTGATTTAGTAGATAGATCATTATTATTTTATTTATTTATAGAATTATCATTTACGATGTTAAACGCTCAACACTTGGGGTTTCTATTTGAATAAGGTTTATTCGAATCGTTTGTTTTATTCGTCATGAATTTGAGTATTCGAATAAAATGAATAATTCGAATAACAGAAGCTTTGTAACCACCCAGAGTAGCAATTAATATGATTAAGGTGCTTGTTTTGGAAAGGTGTATTACCAAAATACTTCTGATTGATGTCATTTTTTACAGGGACTGTCATTACCTATTCCATAATTCATTTGTAAATTGATCAACAAACAGGTAAATATGCCACTGCAATTATTTATATAATTAAAATGAAATTATTAAAATCACTAATATATACAATCAATATTATTTATTATTGAAGTTATATACCATATTTGCGCAATCAAAAATAAAAACTTGGAGTTGTAAGATTGTTAGGACTACATACAATGGCATAGCGTGATTTTTAAACTGACCTACAGACTTTCCGTAAAGAAGTTGTATCTCGCTAATTGCGTTCATAGCATTAGAAAATGCGAGATACGTTTTGCCATTGTCTATTTATTCACCATTGAAATCAACACAAGTGACACAACTTTCCAGCGACCAAAATTCACAAAGAAAAATATCAAAATATTTAATCGCGGATTTCTTACTTTCAATATTTTGTGGCTCTACAATAAACAATGGGTTATTCTTAACTTCTACAGATTCTCAATTGGAATTCTATTAAATGACATATATATAATTATGTAAATGAAAATATATATATATATATATATTCAAAAAAGATTATTCTTACCAAACTAAAAGAGTTTTTTCCTGTTGTTGAACAATACCTTCATTGTATACATTAGAATCAATATCTTTGGTTCTGTTGCTCTTCCATAACAATCTTCTATATAAAATAAAATTGAATAAATGAAAATTTTAATTAATTATATAAACCCTTTCTTGATTTATTATATATAGTATGATTCTCCTTTGACATGATTAACACAGTTACCAACATTTCTTTGAATTATGAGATAGACATACTTACCCTATATATATGGAATCATAATCGTTATTGTTAGAATTATTATCGTATTATCAATAGAAATCTCTCCATCTTCTCATTATATTATCAAGTAAGATACCAAGTTAAAATAATCAAATTAAATAATAGAGACATTAAAAAAAATACAAATCTCGTTAATTTACGATAAAAAAGTCAGATTCACAGACCCTTTGGATACAAGCAAACAAGCTCAGTACAATGACTTAAAGGTAATTCGTTATAAGTCAACCTTGAATGGTAATATAATTTACTTACACGTGCATCTTCCTCATTTCTTGAAAAATAAAACATATAAAAAAAGTAAATATTTTACAAAATATACAAAATATGAATTTATAAATATTAATGTGGGAATCTTCAAAATTATTTATCAAAAATTAAAGTGAGCTGAAAATGTTTTGGAGTGTTGCATCATACGTTGCGCCTGAAGTTTTAAGAGATCAAAAATATACATTGGCATCAAACATATACAATTTTGGTATATTGATGTTAGCAGTGTCATCAGGTCAATGTTACAGGTTTTACAATGAAGATACGCGAAAATTTTATGTGGATTAGTATGGCGCTTTACATCCAAATAAATGACCAGCTGCAGGAAAATTTATGAATTGTTAAATATTGATGTATTGCTGGATCCTGTGTTTTACACCAGCAAGATAAATTCACGGATCTCACAAACCTGTGAATTCCAATGAAGTTATAAGTATCAAAGATACTAATTAATACCTCTTATGATAATTGTTTTAGGAAATTATATAAAGGCACTTCTTATAATCAGTATTAAACCATTTCTCGGATTGAATAATTAACTGATGATGTGATGGTAATAATATGCATTATTTAATTTAATAAAAAATTTAACTTGGGAAATTATGCGCAACAAATATTTTTAATAGTGATAGTAATAAGATATACATTATCTGTTATATCCGATTGTTTTTTCTCGCCATTCTTTATTTTCAACCTGCTTCAATTGGCTCATTGATACTGTTTCGCTATTACTATAATGTTTGTTCCACAAAATTTGCCACAATCATGTATGGATTATAATTATTGCTAGTCATTGTTTGAAGGTGATAACAGATAATTTAAAATGTCCAGGGTCCTTACCAGACCTAACTAACAATCTTAATAAGTCAGCTACATCTGTTGATTTCCATTGGAAATTTCGGAATCACCATTAATACCAAAAGAATAACAATAGAACGCAAGTCACTTACTACTCGTTGGTTTTATACATTTATGGCTATTTTGTGCTATTACTGCTACAATTGCTATTGTTGTTATCTATTATTATTACTGGCATTATTTCCTTACTCAGTTACTATTACCATATCTCCTTTACCAATGCTCAAATTTTATTTTTAAAATAATCCATTTATTTTTTCTGCTATTGTAATTTATTTTCAAAATTCCTACTAATTATCACATTTAACTTCGAAGAATAAAGTGAAGGCTAAAAATAAATGTTTAATTGGTGCGCCCATCTATGTCTGCTCTTTTCTTGGTTTTTATGTTTTCTCTTTTTTTCTTATTCGTTTGGCGTTTTGCTACTTCGTGTAAATGCTTTCTGTCGCCATGTTTTTTTTAAATTAACTCCTTGACTAAAAAAATTTATGAAGCCACTTATCTTTGCTCACTTATTCCTCAAGGTGCATTCTTTGCCTTTTGTCTCGTGTCAATAAAATATTGTTCTTTTCTTGTACAATTCTATGATCAGCCAGTACTATTATTTTCCCACTATTACTATGCATTTCTCTATACTACCCATGTCATTCATTCATTCATTATCTATATCCGTAAAAAAAAACAAAACAGATGGCAGATCATAAGCAGATCATTAATATAATATTAATACTAATACTATAATATTAACAATATAACAAACATAAATTTGTTTCATGCATTCATGCTATTATCAGTTACCAGTTGCTAAAAAAGCACACACATAATAAATAATAAAAATTTACTTGGCAATAGAAATTCTCTATAATTTTCCTTCTGGAATTCCAGCATGGATACTCAAATGTTGCACTAATTTTATATACGTGTAAAATGCAATTTTTTAAATTAAAGTAAGGAGGATATTCTGTACAATTATGTCATTAACTAATTTTGGAGCAATGTGGCTATTTTATTTATTTAAAAAAAAAAAAGTATTTATAAATGTGGGCGGGAACGAAAAAATAATTAACCAAAAAAAATTATTACAATTATTTAAATTATTTTTATTACTAAAAAATATGCACCATAGAATTAATAATAATCAACAATACCCACCTTCACCCTCACTTTCTTCTAATATTGTTGATAATCATGATCACAATCAACAAACAACCTCATTAACTCAATCGTCTCCAACAGCTATCTCACTAGAAGACTTTGAAAAAATTGTTACAAAGCTTCGGTTGATTTTCCCAGATTGTAATCTTGATTATATTCGTAACAGTTTACAAAAAGAAATTAGTTCAAATCCTAATAAAAATTATAATGATAATAGTTTTTTGAGAAGCATTGTTGATAAATTGTTAGCAATTGACTATCCAAAAATCAGCATGCCTGGATCACCACCTACATCTGCTCCTGAGGAAGATGAATCGATGATGAGGTTGATTGTTGATTTGCCACCTTCATACAATGAAGTCATCTCCACTACCAAGAATGCTGTTAATGAAGGAATAAGACCTGAACTTCCATCAAGACATCATCCGAGCGAAATTGGTACTGGAAATGAGACAAATAGTGCATATTTATCAATAAAATCAATACACACAAGATCATCATCATCAGTATCATCATCATCATCAGTATCATCAGCATCATCAGTATCATCATCATCATCATCATCATCATCAACATCATCATCATCAAAATTTAAATCAAAATCTAGATCTAAATCAGAATCTAATTATTATGATGATTTTAATAATATTTCAAATACAATAGATAATTTAATTATGCAATCAAACTTGGTTGAGAAATTAGTAAAAAAATATTCCAAAAATATGAAAAGGCCAATAAATAATTCAAATTTTAAATATTCATCATCGTCATCATCATCATCGTCATCATCATCATCTTCTCCTTCACACATTGAATTACCTATTCTACCAAAAAAAAATAGAAAATCAAATAGAAAAAAATGTGTTTTTTCAAGGAGAAGTTATGCACCAGTGCTACTCAATCATGATGTAACAAGAAAAGATTATAAACATTTTATTAGAGGAATGAATTTGATAATCAAAATAGGATTAAAAAGACTTGCAATATCAGAATCAAATTGTCGTAATCTTAAGAACAGTAGTAATAATAATAGTGCTGGAGAGGAACACATCCAGAAAATTACAGAGTATATTACAGAGTATATTGGTGTTTGGAATAAAGAGTTTTTTGAACCTAGAAAAATCAAGATTAATTTTCATGAAGGAAAAAAAGAAAATTCTATTGGGTATTCTTTTATAATTAAAAACATTTAATGATGTTTGTTTATTTATATTTATTTTGTTTATATTTATTTTTAATTTTATATTTATTTTGTTTCTTTACGTATTATATATATTATTACCTTATATATTATTAATATTGTGCGTGAAAATCATCTGCGTCAATTTGAAATTTGAAATTTAGTTTGAATACAAAATTCTGATTGGTTAATTTGAATTTCACGCGTGAATTTCAAATTGACACAGATTCCAAATTACGCACAACATTAACAAATGATTATTATTAGCATAATTATATTATATACAACTATTTTGGTTGCATTCATCATCTTCATCAGTAAGATGATAAACATTCATTTGTAAGGTTGATGAGGAATAGCATAATTTTTTTTTTTCACTTTTCAATTTCAATAAATTTCAAATTCATCATCTCCAAATCATCATTTTATATTATAGATATACAAGCATTTATCTTTGAAATCATTTTGATTATGGACATTCAGGAGCCTTTCCCTTAATAAAATATTGGGCAAATTGAACAATTGATGATGTTTTGAAGATATTTTATGGATGTAAATTAAATCTTGTTGTATACGTCCTTTTCCATTTGCAATTAAATGCTTATCTTGAAGAAAATGAAAAAAAAATAATTAATAGCTAGAAATTTTAGAGTTCTATAACGATCTTGCTCTTAATTTTATCTTGTTCCAACCCTAATTTTCTACATTATAATAATCTGATTCATTCAACAATTTTGTTAAACCATTTACAAGCTTTCGAATACATTTTAGTGGTTGAGCATAATCACCATGAGGTAGAATTTTAATATATGTTGCAGATCGCCTTATTATATCTCAAATTTATGTCACAACATGGATGTAACGCGTAAAAAATTTCAATAGATATTGGAAGGATTGGAGCTCCATCAAAAATAGTGTTCTTATTCGTAACCCTTACATATTCGAATGTTTGAAAGTTTTTTGGACATCGTAATCATATTCGTATCATATTGCAAACTTTCGAATATTCGTAATTCGTAATCTTTTCAACATTTGTGGCAATTAACATTCTGACATAAAGATGATTTTGTAGCATTGGATATATTTATATTTACTAATTAGTTTATGTTCCTAATTGTTAGATTGAACAAAATGAGATAAATAAATATAATAAATAATAATTAGTATTTTTAAGAATAGAGAGAGCCATTTATAGTACAAAAGCAGCTCGTTATATAGAATATAAACTTTGTTGCATAGAGCAAATTTGATTAATAAAAAATTGGGACCAAAAATATAGAGCCTTGACTGTATTACGAATTCGAATTACAAATACTGGTGAATGCTTGAATGCTCGAAAGTATTACGAGTATTCGCGCAATTATGAATTAATTTCGAATATCGAAAATCATGTGTATATTCATTAATTGAAATTTTTTTTTAAAAAGATTCTGTCTATTATGACCCTATAAACTTGTCTTTTTTCTTTGTAAAAGATTGCAATAACCATTTTTTATTTTCAAAGAAAACGTCATTTTGAAATCTTAACAACATACATATATATATGCAATTTGTCATAACTATGGCCCATATTAAAGAAAAAAATGTAATTAATTTAATAAAGCATTGATCGAGATGCAATTGTCAGTAAATAATAATTTTAAATTATTAATTTCAGATTCAAAAATCTCTGGCGCATACATAGTTAATTACCTAAAAAAAACCAAACATACCATTTGACAATTATTATTATTAATTTTTGCTTTTTCAAAAAAAATTTTTTTTTTTGACGTGAATCATTATCACTATCATTATTATTAATATTATTTTGAGTCTATGAATTTTTTTTCATGATTTTTGGACACATACTAAATATTCAGTGACGTATTTGATTGGATGATATATTGGGCATGTAATGAAATCATTTTGGCAGAAAAAGAATTACTAAAATTTTTCACTAGTAATATATACAAATATATATATAAGTATTCATAATATATTATATTTTTATACCGATACTAACAATATATAATTAGGTGGCATGATTATGCTTTAGTTGGATTGAGAATAAATATCCATTAACAGATCAAACACCATCATCATTGGTATCTACTAACGCTAATAATAATAACTATACCAACAACAACAATAATAGTAATAATAATAATACAAATTAATTGATTATAATTAATGTGTATATAAAGAGTCCATATGCTCAATACTATTATTATTGTTATTGTTATCATTATAGTTAAATATAAATCAAAAATTATACATAGATATATTTAATATTAGTTATTATTAAAGGTTGAATTTTTTTCTCTCATTCACTCTGATCCAATTGATTCATCCTCATAATGATTTTTTTGAAGATAATGTGTGTAAAGCAGAAGTGACGGATGAAGAAGGTGCAGAAGATAAAGTTGGAGTAGTAGCCATTGGTATTAAAGTATTTTTCTTTTGTAAAATGAAATTCAAAAATTTTTTCAATAATCCAACTTTACTTCTTGCGGGAATTTCATCAGCATTGCTATAAATATTTGGATCTGTATATTAATTATATAGGTTATGTAGATTCTATTAGTTATATTTGTTATTACTTTATTAAAAAAATAATTTTTTTAAATCAAAAAAAATCGAATAATAATAATAAATACCATAAGAAGGCAATGCATTATCATTTGCACTCAATGAAATGAAATAGGTGAAAGGTATTAACCATACGCATACTCCAAAGAATGACGCAATATCCATGAACATATAACGATGTGTTGTGAAATATTTAAACCAAAGAAAATGATCCACTATCACTAATACTTTTTTTCAATTAAAATAAGTAAAAAAATAAAAATAGATAAATATTAAATTTTAAAAATCAGTTGAATATTTCTTACTAAAACTTGCTATGAATGGTAAACTTGTCAAATTGATGAATGGAAAAGTCTTGAGATTCATAGTGTAAACACCATGACATCCTATTGAAAACATTGTTTGTAAAAATGGAAATCCATCAAATATACACAACAGAATGTGAATCGATACGACAATCTAGAAAAATATATTTTAAAATAATTATTTCATGAAAATATATATGTGTGTGTGTAATGTAAATTAAATTTAATTAAATCTTACTATTGTTGTGCTTTTTATAATCTTTTTCGTCATTACAGTGTATTCTTCCACAAGCTCGGCTAATTAAACATCTTTGTAAGTGAATAATAAATTACGTTTTCAGCTGAACAAGCACATCAGATCAACAAATTTTACCTAAATAATAAAGTCCACACGCTTTTAATTTTTTATGAAATGAAAATTATACATATACGATAAATAAATGCTTCAAAGATCAGAAAAATCCAATCATTAAATGTTCTTTCTCCCTCGTACACGTTTATATGCAAATGAAATTAGTTACCTAAACTTAATGTTAGGAATATCACCGTTAGGAAGGATGCCAAGTATGATAATATGTGTAATAAAGTCATTTTTAGTTTTGGAGGAAAAAACTAAAAAATAATTTGATTACTATGGTGCAAGTCACCTAGTCCCACAACCTTCTGCATCACACCACTTGAGAAAAAATTTCCAATCAAAAAAATGCAACAAAAATTGTTTAGTCATGTGATATTTCCTGGTCATTTCAATCGGCAAAAAAAAAAATGACATTAACAATAGAAATGAAATGTATTTCCATGAAAATTATTTTTGGTGCTAGATGGGAGATAGCAAGTATATGTTTTGCACATTTTTTTGATCAATGCAATAGCCTATTAAAATTTAAAATAAATGAACTTATATATATTACAGTCAAGGATATTACCATAAATATATTGATGCTGATCCCTCTTTATGTATATAGTAAGGAATGTTTATCGAAATTTTCTAGAAAGATATTAATTTTTTATGATGATACAAAAATAGTAGTAGTTGAATTATGTGGATTGATTAATAATATATTGATTAACTAGTACCAAATTTCAAAAAGAAAAAATCCTAAAAACTTATTAACCATAAAGTAATAACCATAACAACAAGAGTATTTTCACATTCTCTGCCACCTATCAAATCTTTTAAAGCAATATTGAAAAGCAATCTTAGATTTGGAGTGACAACCCATTTTTGAATAAGTGTGCGTGTTTTGCATATAGAACACCTTTCAATACGTTTATTAGAAAGCTTTAATGGAGTAGTTTCTCTTTATTTTAATCATCAAGTTCGAGTTTATTATAAAAACAAAGAGATATTTTAAAAATGTTCAGTTACATTTTGATTATTTTTTTTTATAAAATGATGATTTGTCACACAATGAATAAAAAAATTTTTTTAAATTATTAATTCACTCTAATCACACCATCACATCTCAATATTTTAAAAAGCAATCATGAAGTATGTATTTTGAAATTGGTATTAAGAGGGAAAGAAGTTATGGTTATTGTGTATATATATATATAATTAATTTTCACATCAATTTATTCTGTTAATTCATTAATTCATTAATAATAATTTAGAATTGAATTAGATTCATTTTCGGGTAATAAAATTTATCCTGGCAAAGGAAAAATTTATGTCAAGACTGATAATAGGGTTAGTAATTATTATTATAATTAAGATGTAATAATAATTTAATAATGATAATAATGATGATCTAATATCATCATCATTCGTTTATTAATGAATTCATCACCACCATCATCATTCCTTTACTGTTCATTAATTAATTCATCGCTCGTTCATTCCATCACCATCATTTTCATCGTTCCATTACCACTCATTCACTAATTCATCCATCCATAAATTTAGACTTATCGCTTCACTGGTTCAAAATCAGAATCATTATTTCTACAACGATTAAATCCACGTAAAATTAGTTGGACAGTACTTTATAGACGCATGCATAAAAAAGGTATCACCGAAGAAGTTGCTAAAAAACGTACAAGACGTTCTGTAAAACATCAACGTGGTGTTGTGGGTGCTTCATGGGATGCTATTCGCGCCAAACGTAATCAAAAGCCAGAAGTAAGAGAAGCTGCTCGTCAAGAAGCTATTCGTGAAGCAAAAGAAAAAAAGAAAGTTGAACAAACTAAACGTAAAACTGAAAAAGCTAAGGTTTGTTAAAAAAATTTCCATCATAAGATATAAATTAATAAAGACAAAGAAAGAGAAGGAATAAGAAAAGACACATATTTATATATTTAAATTTTTACAGATTGATAAAGGTTCTCGTGGACAACCTAAAATATCAAAACAACAAGCTCGTGGTGCACATCAAAAAGTTGCAGCAAAGAGTCGTTAAGAATATAATTTTTTCAAAAAATAAATAAATACTATAATTTATATATATATACGTAGATGTAGATTTTTTAATATAAAAAGAAGAATTATTTATGAATTCATAAATTGCACAATCAATGCATATGCACACACAATATCCCGTTAATCCTTATACAATTTATATGTCCCATATATAAATTATAATTATTACTGTCTAAAACGGATTCTCTCTATAACAAACATTTTTTCCTAAGCCAAATGGTCTGTTATATAGAGATGAACAAATATCAATTCATAAAGATTAGTTCTATCGATTTATTATTATTATTATTTCTAATAAAAATTTAAAAAGTTCAGAGTTCAAAGTTGTGGAATTTTATATGTTTTTGAATTGTAAAGTAGTTTCTTTGAACGCACTATTCGTTCTCATAATGATGATGATCATGACATGTGATGAGAACGCAATCGTTTTTATAAAACATATAAATTCCTTTTGATCTTTGTTCTATTGTAAATTTTTTTTTAGGCATAAGGTAAAAACTTGCTACATAGGATTTTATATTGTTTAGTAAACAATAAAGGTAAAAAGGCAAAAATGGCAATATTCATTAGAATGCATAAAAAACCAGATGCTTATTTAATAACCAATTAACAAATATATACATAATTAATTTTTACATTAATAAATAACCACCGCGTTTATTAAGAGAAATATCTAGAAAATTTCGCTTGTTTTTTAACTCGGTTGACTTTTGTTTCAGTTGCCTGAGGTGCATCATCTTCTCTAGACTGTTTTATATGAACAGTAGTTGATGTTTCCAAAAGACTTTGATTCCTTTGTAATTTCACCAGAGGTTTAGATGCTTCTTCAGGTCTAGCCACATTTTTGAAAATTTTTGTATGAACTTTAGAGTTGCTTTGTGTCTCTGTTGGTTTAGTAGTGGTTATTTGTGCTTTCACAATATGTTTAGAAATTAGGATTTGGAGTTTTCAACAGGGTTGCATATAATAGTCTCAGGTTTTGAAATTTCTGGTGGTTGTGTTGTTGAAATAAATTCAATGGTTTGTAAAGTGATCTCTATATCTTTTTTCAATTCAGAATTTTCATTCTTTAGCTTTTCAGTTTCAGTTTCCAACTCTTAAATCTGCACACATGAAGAAAGAAATTTGTAAAAAAAAAACTCAACCAATTAACCATAAATATATTTAATAATGCTTCTGTTTCCTGAATTTGTTGAAATATGTGCCAAAGTTTACAAATTTTTCTTTCCACATTATCTAACAAAACGTGCGCATTTAGTTGATGGATGTTACACACTCTGAATTTACACTAAATTTGGAAATAAATTAACCAAATTTAGTTTTAAAAATTTTTTTACTTGAAGTGTATGATTATTCTGTTTTTCCGTTATTAAACTCGATGTTTTTTCATTTATTGTTATTATAATGATGTATTTTCCGAGTGTTTTCCGTATTAGTGTATTAGTATATTTTAATCAAGTTACGGTTAACAAATAAAATGCATTGTAAGAAAAAAAATGCCTATTTTTGTTTGCGAGTTTATCAGTTACTTAATAATATTCCAGAAATATAAAATCTTATCCTCACGTTCCGTTTTAATTACATATTTACAAATTTTCCTATATTAATATCAATGACATCACGGAAAAAATCCGGATTTCTTGCTCAACAGGTTGCTGCTTTTATGAAATAAACTGGGCATTTACGGAGTTGATAAACATAATCACGGAGATGTAATGGAAATATTCTGGAGTGTCATTTTTTACAGGGAATATGGTATATTAAAATGTCGCACCACTTTATAACAATGTTAACTAATTTTTACAAAAGATGATTGACATGGAAAATGTAAAGAAAAGTGTTGAGATGATTAGCGAATTGAATATAGGAGTGATGGTTGCTATTGATATTGTATTTGAAATAATTCCATCTGTGAAAGACGTGCCACATATTGAGTTTAAGGGTGCTGTAAATTGTGTATCATTAAAAGATGTTGAAGTCGATGGATTTTCTTTGAAATATTTTAATAAAATGGATAACATTGCCTATATATAATATTGTAAGTAAATAAATATTTATTTATGAGAGAAAGTATTAAAGTAAACCATAATAATTAGTTGTTTACCTCGTTACAATCTGTACACAGTAAATTTGGTGGCAATTTGAGTAATGGCAATATGAATGAAATCAGAGGATCTTTAGATGACCCTGCGCTTGTTGTTGGTGGTGAAGATGTTGGAATATTTGTTGATGTTGGAATATTTGTTGATGTTGGAATATTTGTTAATGTTGGAATATTTGTTGATGTTGGAATGGTAGGTTGTTCTTGTACACTTGTACTTGCTAAAGTGGGTTGGTTGGCTTCCACACTTGATGGAGTGGGCTGAGTGGCCCCCACACTCGATGGAGTGGGCTGAATGGCTTCCACGCTCGATGGAGTGAGCTTATCAGTTCCTGTACTTGATAAGTTAGTCAATTCTGATGTAGTCGAGTGAAAAATACTTGCGGACGTTAAATTTGCAAAATTATGATCAATATCGATTTCCATTTTGTGATTAACTGAACATTTAAACATAAAAAATAATTAATTTTTCTTAAATATGACAATAATAATGACAACAATAATAAATATTACTTTTAAATTCAAGACTCCTTTTCTGATTTTTATTTTGATTTGAAGCAGTAGCATTTGCAATATTCGTGATGGTTTCCAATATGCAAAATCCATTAAACTTATTAGAAGTATTTCGTAAACAAATGATTTCACGAAGAGGTTTATAATAAGCAAACATAATGTAAGTCATCATTACGACAGGATTTTTTGATTCCAAATCTTGAACACAATTTGATCCCAATTGCTGAGTAATTTGTTGCATTGTATCAATATTACATTTTGGTAAGAGACAGACCGTCTTTACATTTTGTGCTATAAGATTGATTTTAATTACAGGATTAGGGATGCTTGGATCGACTATTGTTGGTATGGTGTCTATGATCGTTGAAAATGAAAGACATTTATCAACTTCTTGATTTTGAGATACAGAGTTAATCGCGTTTTGGCAAGTATTTGTTAAATTATATTGGTTTAAGTCAATTGATTGTGCCGAAATTGTTATTATGTTAAAGCAGTAACAATACACGGAAAATATGAATAAACCATTAAAATAACGTGACATGTTTATCAATTATAATGTGTAGTAATTTGTATTTACTGGATAAATGAAAAGAATGTAAGGAGAGGGAAGAAAAAAAAGAGTGATAAATATGCAGGAGAAATGTAATTTAGAAAAATTTAAGCATGATATGGCGTTGGGTGAATTTTTTATATCAATAAATTATTTTCAACCTTTCTTGAACGAAAATATCCAACAAGTATTTTAAATTGGTGCAACGTGCATATTCCAATTATAGTATGTATCGCCAAAAACTCTCACTTTTTTGGTAAATTTTCTCATTAAAACAATTGCGTTATATAAATAATAGCTCTCGTCACAATAACAACATCATTATAAGAAGGATGTTGATGTTAGTGACGAAAGAGAATCTATATTTCATCAAAACTTACTTTTTTCTTACTGATCTTTTTAACTTTGATTTTCTCTATACATGCATAAATTTTGAATTAAAATCGATGACGACGAATAAATAAAGATTTCTACACAAACAGGTTAACTTGGACCGATTTGTTTAGTCAAAAATGATAGTTATCCATCTACTACATTTATTGTATCAATCACCTGATTTTAAAAATTGGCGGATAATTTTTAAAAAAAAAAAAAGATTTAAAAGATGATTTTTTTATTTGTTATTATTAGTTAATTAAATAAATAATAATAACCAAGTCAACAACTTCCTCTCCAGGATGCATTCTCTCTAACTGTTTATAAGACCCAGGATCAACAGAACATTAGATGTTATGAAAGCATGTTTTCAGAAGGTCAAGTATATGTTGCGAGCCGAATGACTTTGTTGGATAAATTACACATTCCAATTTTCAATTCCCAATTGAAGGTCTCCAAGACTAAAAATTACAAATCGCAAGCTTAAATTCGTGAACAATGTATATGCTATTTTTTTATTATTCATATTATTCATGTAACAACTTTTTAATCATTAAAAATAAATAAATCTCTTTTTTATATATATATTAATTAGAAATTGCTATTACAGGCGACTTTGTCGCCACTGCCACGTATATTATATTTTTATTAACTCGTGACATGTAAATGATAAATGTACATACTCCTCAAACTCTAAATTTTCTTGATCAAATTGTTATACAATTATGCAGAGGCTCAGAGCTCAACAAAAGCTTTAACTACCATCGCTTACTTCTTTTTCTAATACTAACAATGAATAGCAATGATAGAAAATAAATCAGAGTGATATCATGAAAATCACGCATGGTCTTGTAATTTAATTATTCTGCAAATTTTTTTAAAAAAAATAATTGCTTCGCGACCACATCAAATCTTCTATAATAATAATAATATTTGCAACAAATGTGATTTTTGCATACCAGCCAGCATAAAAAAATGTGTATTTTGGATCGAGAACTAGGACATTTATTTTAGCTTGATTTTTTAATCTCAAAAAAATTTGATGTCGATTATTTAAAGAACACAGAAAAATTGTTCTCAATACAGTGCTTTGTCTTCTTGTTTTGTTCTCATGCTTCCTAAAAAGTTCAGTTTAATAAGTCTACTAACAGAGCTCTTTTTGCAGTTTGTTATAATTGCAATTATTTTACAATCGCAATAACAGCAATTTGCATAATAATTACAATTATAAATTACTAGAAAAATGGTAATCAAATGGCAAGAATCTGTTTACATTCATTATATTAAAGTGTTAAATATCAAAAATATCGGTCGCATTTACTTCGTCGAAAATTATTTCAGAGACCGAACGAGTTAGATGTAAGGAGTGTGGAAAGTTAGTTAAGAAATTAGGTGAGGAAAGCGGAGTGTGTGGGAAGTATGAGGAGAAATTTGTTTAATATTAATGAAGTTTTTTTTTTTGTGACGAAATAATTTTCGACGAAATGAACTTTTGATGAAACAAACTTTCGACGAAATGGGTGTTGACGAAATGATTGTCGACGAAATGAATCAGACCCCTAATGATAAAATCTCTATCGAACCTTGCTTGTATTGATCAATCCGAGTATTTCTGGATTGACCGAGATCCATCTAGAAACAATACAAACACATTTTTAATTAATTTAAAATTATTAACATTATAATCAATAATTGATCAATTAATCGATAATCAATATTTAATAATACCAATCTGATAATTCATCTGCTTCTGGTAATAAGGGTATAGTGGTGCATGATGATGTTGATAAACTTACATTTGAGGGAAAATATAGTTTAATCACAAATAAATACATATTTAATAACAACTACTGAATTAATTCCAAGTTCCTTATTATTATTATCATTAATTAATCGATTGATTTTCACAATCGATAATTGAAATCGAAACGAAAAATCAAAAAACTGATTGGCAAATTGAAAGAATCGATTTTATATCAAAAAAAAGGTCAATTATTATTCTTTGAGTAAAAATTTTTGTTTCGTTTCAAAAAAACCACGGTTGTACAAACATATGAACACTTGAGGGTTACGACAATAATATGGCATACGGCAAGTGCCTGCCATATATATACCTAGGTTATTTTTGATTTGCTTAATTCGGACATATAAAAGAAAAGATAAACAGTTACGGCATACAACATACTAACGCGTATCGTAACTATGAGTTATCAACAGACTGTGAACTAAGTCTGTTTCGTAACAAAATGATTTGTTGTCCCGCATCAGAAAAAGTCTTGTTATTAATTATGCCTATTGTTATGCTTGTAACGAATTGTTGTCATCAATTGTGTTTGCACTTTATTTTTAAATATTTAATTCAATCGATAATCGATTATATCTCTAATTCTCGTAATCAACTGTGCTGATATTTCGAACATACAAATAATTTAAAAAACAACAAATCAATTGACGAATTTTCATTCCATAGATTAATAAGAAAACTGTTCTCCGAGTATCTTTTGTTACAGAATCATGAGATTTATCAATATCTATTAAAATAAACAAAATATTAATAAAAAATTCAAAGAACACCGAATAATTTTTCATTATCATAATGGATAATTTCCGATTTGGCTGCTATATGTTCTCTAATAGTAAATAGTAAAATAAAATACATAACTTTAATGGAGTCATAAATTAATATAATTAATGTACATACATACATACATACATACATACACACACACACTATAGAGCTAGCGCATAGTTCACGCATAGTTCGTGGCACAGCAAGCGAAAATTTTTTCTATTACCCCATAGTGCTCATGTAAGCCTACACACGCTATGCGTATGCACACTATGCACACTGTGCGCGAAAAAAATCAAGTTTACTATTACTATGAATGGCATATCACTATATAGAGCAAATGCTTGTTGATTTTCTCCTCCATTTTCATTATCATTGCATAACATTTGCTCATGTTTTGTTTCTTCTCTACCCGATGCATTATTTCTTTTAACTTTTTAAGATCCTTTTTTTTTTTTTTTTTTGAAAAAGTTTAATAATATGGAAAAAAAATATATTACTATCTGATTTTGAGCCTTTTTTTTTTTTGGAACGTGAGATGAAGAGAATTGGACATTCATTACAACCCATTTAAAGAAGAAGCTATGATACTTGTTGTTAGTTGTTAATAGCCAGTGATTTTATTGTGTTAACAAACTTATTTTTATTTATATAAAATAGCCTAAATACCTTATAGTGAATAGAAATCAAAACATGGGATGAAATCTATCGTATATAGGTAGTTATAAGATTCCTTGTCATGATTGGTATATTTTTTTTATTAATATTAAATGATTATAGGAGGCGTCAAAGGTAAAAAAGCAACATAGTTATTGAAGATCTCTCGCACACATACATGGAAAACTGTTTTAGACAATCTGGGAACTACCTGTTTGATTGTTGGAAATTTATTTACAGATGTTGAAGTATATTCTCAGGGCTCGAATATTTAAAACATCTCATCTTCCTTGTGTACATTAGACCAAGGTTCTCCTGAAGATACAGTGGTCAATTAAAATTTTCAGGGGGAACATGGCTCTAGAGTTTATTGAGATCGCATTGTTGTCAAGAAGACTCAAAGCCATCCAACTTGTTCAATTGGCCTCGTCTGTGGAAAATTTTTATAGATATGAGGCATGCAATTGCAAGACGCTTGCTTGTTTGTGGAAGGAAGATTTTCATTAAATCTGAACCCTATGAGACTCAACACCCTTTTTGATAAACTAAAATTGTTTGTATAGCTTGTACATGCAATATAATATCAGTATGTAAATTTTAAAAGATAATATCCAAATAAAAAATGTTTAAAAATCCATGTGGAAATCAATGAAATTAAATGTAATATTTATATTATTATCATACATTATATAATTAATCACGCGCGGCTGAAGAAGCTTAGACACAAGTTTCAGAGATAAAAAGCAAATGACATAAAACTGTACCCTTGGGACAACTAGTAACAGCAATAAAAGATAAATTAAATAACAATAATCCAAGAAATGTCATGACGTAAAACTACACCATCATCGAGATCATCATTCCCTACGAATTTTTGATTACGTTCGAAAGAATGAACGCTGAAAGGATAATAAAATTCTTGATAAAAAAAACAGATGCAATAACGCAATATGGGAAGGAAAGTCAAAACAGTGAAAACTCTGAATGAAAACGTTATATCGTGAACAAAAAAATTTTTTTGAGACACCAAAATATAATCTTTTTTGTGTAATAAATAAATATCGCATTGGTAAAAAGCAACAATACATTACATAATATACAATCCAAGTCCATACACTTGAACTATCTCTTTAAAAATTTCATCAGATGTCACATATTATTTCTGACGAGCATGGAAATTCCTGTAGTATTTTTAACTTTCATATTATCTTAAGACCTACCACCATTAATTAGATATCTTTGGATCCAATGACCTTTAAATAAAATAAATCACCCATTAGTTGTATATATTAACATTCATAAAAATTTTAAATATCGATTTGTTGTACCTTTTCCTGATTTTGTAGATATGAACCACTATTTGAATATTTCTTAATGAATATTCTATTGTTTAGAGATCAATTAACTTATTTGAAAATAAATAAACTTATCACATTAATAATGCTTTTACTGGATTCTGAAAAATGTATGTTATTTTGTTTGTTGTGAAATTTGTATTTGGGTATACTTTTTTGTTTTATTTCCTATATTCAAAGCAATGTTTTTATGCAGGATAAATTAAAGGAATTCAAGGTACTGACAAGGTTCCAAATGATCTGTTAAAGTATATTGGTTCATTCAAAAAGAAGATGCAATATTAGGAAGGTAAAATTCAGACAATGGGTAAATTAAGTATTTATAATATGTTAAAGGAATACAAGTCCAAAACCATAAAACCATAAAATCAGAATATTGTTATATTTTATATGCATGGACATTTATTTAGAAAATCCTCTGATTTAATACCATCTAAATGCAAGAATGAAAGTGGGACAGTTCTGCACTACAAAGGAAAGCATTTGAAAGGAAAGGTGTTTTGGTTAAAATTAATAAGATATCTCATGGTTAACATGGATTAATTAATCTATTTCATAAGTCAACAATATTATTATTTGTTGTTAAGAATGTTATTTTCGGATGATTTGCAAAAAATATCACAAAAAGAAATCTTGTTAATTTACTTATTTTTTATATTAAAAAGTTAAAATGTCCTTCAATAATTTATATAAATTAATAACACAAGACAGAAAGGAATTAGTGCTTAAAATTTTTAATGAAATGAATGGTATTGCTCATTCTGCTTTTCGAACTACTTCTAATTCTGACCGTGAAAATAGAAAAAGTTATTTTTTACAATTAGTCAAAGAAAACAAAGAACTATTGGAAAATGAAAAGGAATTTTGTATAGAAAAGTTTATTTATAATTTCGAATTAAAAAATGCAGTTCATAAATATGGAGAACCAAGAGAGTGCAATAATTGTAAAACAACAAGATACTCTGATAAATTTTGTGAAAAATGTATTAGTCTGCATTTGCAGAGCCTTTTCAGTACATGGACATCTGGAAATGAGATAATTGATGGTTTTATTCAAAAATGTCAACAGCTTTCATCTCTTCCAGATCAAATTATAGAATGGGTACCTTATGAGCAATTTTACAATATAAAAAAGTTAACAAAAGGTGGATTCAGTTCTATTTATACTGCTGGGTGGAGAAGAGGATCTATTAATGATTATGATGAAAATAAAAAGGAGTTTGATTATTTTGAAGGTCAGCGTATAGTATTGAAATCATTGAATAATTCAAGTAATCCAGGAAAACCTTTTTTTGATGAGGTGATTGATTTTTTTTTAAAATAAACTATATAAAATAAACCATTTATTTAAACCAACTAATCTATCTATATAATTGATTTCAGGCATTGAATTATTGTAAAATTAAATCTTCTGGAATTACTCCTTGTTATGGTATAACTAAATTCTCAGAAAATGGAAATTATGCAATGGTTCTTGGTTATCATCCAGATGGAAATTTAAGAGATTATATACAAAAAAATCATTATAATTTAATGTTAAAGGATAGAATTATGATTTTTAAAGATTTGTGCCAGGCATTATATTTTATACATTTAAAAAATTTAATTCATTGTGATTTACATAGTGGTAATATATTAATGGATGGAGGTGGTTGTTATATCACAGATTTAGGATTATGTGGACCAGTTGATGAAAAATCATCAAATAAACTTTATGGAATTGTATCTTATATTGCACCAGAACTATTTAGAGGAAAAAAATACACAAAAGAAACAGATATTTATAGCGTTGGGATGTTAATGTGGGAAATATTTGCAGGTCATCCACCATTTGATGATGAAGCACATGATTTTCGTTTGCAATTAAAAATATGCAAAGGTTTACGACCACCAATATTACCAGGAATGCCTAATGATTATGTACAAATGATGCAAAGATGTTGGGATGTGGATCCAACCAAGAGACCAACTAGTGAAGAGCTTTGGGATTTTTCTGATAATGAATTTAAAACTGTGAGTTCTAATGAAAGTAGTAGTAATATTGGTGGTGGTGGTGGTAATAATAATAATAATAGTAATAGTAGTAGTAATAATGGTAATTCACAACAAGCACACAAATCACATCCATTAGCATATCATACAAGTAGAATATTAAATGATGAGATTGCTAAATTGAATTTAAGTAATGATAGTCTATTAAATTATGAAATATAATTTAATAGGGCAAATTAAATAGTTGAATAATTGAAATTTATTAATTTAATATACGAGTGTTATTAATTAATTATAATGATAATATATATATAGTTTAATTGATAAGGTTAAAGTTAGATAATTGAGTGAATCATTGATGGGTAGATAAATAATTTATTTTGTTTATTTTTATTATTAGTTTGAAAAATAAATTTGACCAAACATGAATAATTAATATAATACATAATTCTCCTGATGTCAGAAGTCAAAATAAATAATCAAATGAATGTGAAATGACATCATTCAATACTATAATACTAATGCAATTATAATATTTCGAATTTATAATTTTTTTGTTTAGGAATTATTGATACAAAATTAACTGACGAATTAATAATAATAAGTTTAAAGGATTCAGATTCAGGTTCCATTTCTTTTGCTAGATGTTTTTCACCTTCGTGACAGTAGAAAAATTCAATGCTGGGAATGCTGGAGTGTTCTAAATTTGTAAAATATTTTTAAACTTCTACTAGTTGCATTGCACGACGAATGTTATACACTCGAATACCATACATCTAAAAATAGGTACCAAGTGCTTCTCCAATATCATGAACCAACAATCTAATGTATGTCTCACCGAAAATTACGACTTCTTATTGCTGTAATCATCTTATTAGTTGTATTTTTTTTTTTTGATAAAACTATAATATATAATAGTACTATTAGATAAAACAATAAAAGGGTATAATTTTTTTGAGTAGTAAAACGAGAAGAGAGGAGTCTAATGAAAAAGAAGAAAAAAAGACAAAAACAAAGAAGAAAAAATATATTAAATCATCTGTAATATTGCGTGATTTGTTATCAATATAATGAAATAATTAATTCCAAAGAGGAGGAAATCTTACAATATCTTCTAAATGTGTATAGGTGATATTACATTGAACCGCTGATAACGGTGGTAAAACGAGAGGATAATTTGCATAATTACCACTACTATTCAATGATGTTGGTGCTCTGAATATTGTAGGCGTTACTTCTATTGCATTGTTGTTGTCATGATGGCAGTGATGGTGTGTATTAATTGGGGTATAAGCAGGGGGAGTATATGAACACCTGGTCCATTTGTGGTACAAAGTGATGGAGTTGTATTATTTCTAGTTCTTGATGTAAATTTTGTAGATGTAAATTCATCATTATCTGAGGAATAATTACTGCTACTACTACTAACACTATTATTATCACTACCGCTACTACTACTAACGCTATTATTATCATTGCTGCTGCTACATGTAGATATATGACTAATTGGTACTCTGATCATATCATTACCATTATTAATAATAATAATACCTTCGTTGATGCTATAAAGATAAAAATTATTAACATAATTTCCATTTCCATTATTATTTTCATCTTTTATGTTTCTTTTCAATTGACATTTTTGTACATGTTTTGAGAAATTACCATGTCTTGTAAATGATCTTGTGCAACCAGAAATTGGACAATTGAGGTTTTTGGCCAGATGAGATCAGATTTATAGGGTGATGATGGTGTGGAAATAGTTAATTCTGCAAAGATGAACATGTGCAAAGAATTAGGAGTATTATTATTGGTAGAAGGAAGATCGTTCCCATTCACATTAACGTTCGCATTATTATTATTATTACGATAAAGGTCTTTGACTTGTAGAGTACTATTTTTAAATGACGAAGCACTAATTTTCTATTTCTATAATTTTTTTCTTATTTTTATTGTGAGTCCTACGATGTCTCGAAAGTTCATCTGACCTGTAAAATCTTGTTACATTCTCCCCAATTGCATTCATGAGGTCTTTCTCCAGTATATATATATTCTATTATGACAGAGTAAATGTTCCAATCGATTAAAAAATCTTTCGCATGTACTGAATTTATGTTTGTAAATTATAACACCATTAGAAGAAGAGGGGCGGTAGGAGGAATTTTTCATTAAAGGTTCTTGTCAAAACCAAGCGTGGCGTTACACCCTATTTTTATTAATGAAAATCAACATTTCAATGTAAATTAGTGTCATTGCAATAATATACATTCCTGATTTTTTAGCCAATTCATTTATGTGATTGTTGAATGCTATGCGTGCAATAACTGATCTATTACATTAGAGTTTAAATCACCAAGTAAAAAACTAAATACTATTTATTTTGTTCATCTATAGTAACAATAATAAGGCTTGATAAGATTTTAGTAATTCGTTCTAAATTGTATTTTTCAATAGAAAATCAACACATCGTTTATTGGGCCCTAATTAAATCAACATTTTTTCTAAAAATAACAAGTAGTACATGAGTGAACTCTGAGATCAAATTTTTTTTGCTCCAGATATATATACTGTTTATGATTAGTACAACTGGATTTACAAATAATATATAAAGTATAAAAAAAGTATATTTAGAAAATAAAGAATAAAAATTATAAAAAAATAATGAAATAATAAATTGATTACGAATTATCTGTTATTGTTGTTATTGTTATCCAAAAATTGATTTACAAGGTCTTGGAGACTTTGAAGCTGAGACACTATGTAAATAAGTAGTTGATCATTGTTGTCTTGATCAATGAAATTGTTCAAGTTTTGATGATGAACAAAACTATTGTCAAAAAAATTGTTCGGATGATTAATGCTTGTAGTATATAATAGTTAGATTCTGGTCAATGATATCATTGTTATTGTTGATTGTTCTAGTTAAGTTTTGGTCAACGAAACTATAATTACTGATAATACCTGAGTTTTGGTTGGGGATATTATTTTGATGAACAAAATTACTGTTGCCAAAGTTTTGATTAAAGTAATCATTTTCAGAGTTCTGGCTGTTTTGGTGACCGAGGTTATTGTCCCCAGTGTCTTGATGAATGTAATTATTGTTTGGTTGATGTAATTGGCGTGGTTATCATTAGGAACAAAGTCTTGGTTATTAATATTAGAATCATTATTATTAATACTTTCAGAATAATTTTGATTAATTTTTTATATATATTATGAATTTTATGTTAAATTTTTGTTGTTGTATATATATATTTTTTTTAAAGTGGGGCAAAACCAGACAAAGTGAACATTGGTATTACCAAGAATTTCAGGGTTCGAATTTAGTCATCACCAATGTAATGTGGTCATGATATTTGCTTTTTTGCTTAGCATTAATATTAATATTAATAACATTAAATAATAATAAAATAATTTCCTTCGTAGTCCCTTTATACAGTGATGATGAATAATTGACATTTTCTTAAGTCATAGTACTAGTAGCTATAGTAGTAGTAATATAGATTATCAAATAAAATTATTGTAATTTATATATATTCTCTTGTTAAAGGAAATAAGCCTTATTTATAATTTTACAAGGTTAAAATCCCTTAACAATAATATTAATATTAATATAGAATTTGTTGCATCAAATTGTGGATTAATATTTTATAAAACGAATAAAACGAATACTTCGAATAATCTGAATAATTCGAATAAAACCGAATAATTCGAATAAAACCAAATAAAACGAACAAAACGAACAAAACGAATAAAACCGAATAAAACGAATAAAACGAACAAAACGAACAAAATGAACAATTTGAATAAAACGGATAATTCGAATAATTCGAATAAACTGAACAAAACGAACAAAACTGAATAAAACCGAATAAACCGAATAAAACAAATAAAACAAATAAAATGGACAATTCAAATAAAACTAAAACGAATAATTCAAATAAAGAATTTGTATTAATATTAAAAATGTGCAACTGGAAAATGGCCTATTCTAAAATTTTATCAGAATGCCCGGAATTTTATAATAAGATTTTGCTCCCTGGTCTTCATCGCCTTGTTTGATGCTAATACCCTTGTTGTGTAATTAAATAATAATTTTATTATTTGTATTTCAAATTATAAAGTAAATTACAAAATCAAGAAAATAAGTATGTTTTAAGAATTATTAAAATTCAGAGGTATATTTTAAGTGTATGATTAGGATATCTACATTCCTATTACTGTAAAAAATAAGAATGTTTTAATTATAAAATAAGTATATTTTGCAAATAATTAGTGAATCATCTTTTTTAATTTATGTCAAGTATGTTTTGTAAAAATTAAGTAGAAAATAAGTAGGGAAATAAGTATCTAAGCTTTTTGTAGGGATAGTTATGAATGAAAACTCTAAACTCATAATTGATAGATTTGTAGATGGATTTTTGGCTGATAAAGAGATTGTAAGGTGAATGTTTGTTAACATTCTGGAAAACGTTGCAAATTTAATATTTAAATGAATAAATTTTCATTTACAATTTATCACGATTGGCAATATCCTACCTAATATGGCTGATTGTGATATGAGTAATACGTTGGTTTTGTTACGATTAATTTATTTTTATGCTCACTCTGCATATACGTGCATAAATTCATCTGGTGAGTAAAAAACATATAAATAGGCCCAATGTATTATTTTTTGGATTTTTAAGAAAAAATTTCAAAATTTTTTTTTTCTTGGTAAAATATAAAAAAGAACAATACTTTTAAAGAAATAACGTACAAAATATCAAATAAAGAATATTTTAAAGAAAAATGACCAAATTATTAATAGTTATTACCTTAATAATTGCTCTAGCTGCTGCATATTGTTCTTCTGCGACATACAATATTAAAGTTGGTTCTCCAGTAGGAAAGTCCGCTTATGAACCTCAAACCATTAATGCTGATTTACAAGATATTGTAAGTCTTTTTATTATTTAAATTTTATATATAATTATAAATGCAAAGTTTAAAATTTATGCAATTTTCATTCGATTAGGTTATATGGGAATGGGTAAGTCCTCAACATAGTGTTATTCAATCTGATGGACCAAATAATTGTGTAAAATCTATATCAACAACAGCATGTAAGTTTTGGAACTTTAATTGTTATAATAATAATAATAGTAATAATAATAATATTTATATATTTTTAATCTATCATTTTTCTCTATATGGATTTCTCTAATTTTCTTTTCTAAACATGCAGTTGCTTCACCATCCCAAGAAGTTGGGAAAACTTTTCAAATTACAATTTCTCAACCATATGGCAAATTATATTATTTTAGTGATGTAGGCACAGATTGTAAACAAGGTATGTTTGGTACAATAGTGATTGGCGCGGGAAAATTACCAGCTGATGACACCCCTACTGCTGCTCCAAACTCTACAACAACCAGCGTCCCAGCTGTAGAAACATCATCATCATCATCACCGTCGGCATCGGTAACTCCAACTCCTGATAGTAAAAAAAGTGTTGGTTATAAACTTGATGGAAATCTTGTAATGGTTGTTACAATGGCTGCAATCGGTGTGATTGGTTTATTGCTCTAAGGAAACGAGATATTTTGTTTTTACATAGTATTTTTGAGTGAGATTTTTTCTAATCAATAACCAACAAACCAACTAATAATGAATAACAATACGATAATATATGACATTTAGAAATATAAAATTTATATACTAATACTAATATACACCTAATATACATCCAATACACTTACTTAAAGTATATATTATTTGTATATATATAATAATAATGTAATTTTAATAGGCGAAAAAGATTTTATTTTTAAAAATTTTATTTAATGTAACATTACTTACTAGATTTAGATATAAAATAAATAAGAATGAATTTTTCATTAGGATATAAATAAACCTGATTTACCTCGTCCGGGGGAAATTTAACCGACGTTTAAATAATCACAGTGAATTTAACAAATTTTCTGTCAGAATTTTGCCCATATTAATATACACATCTAAACTCGATAAGTCGGACATTTATTTATATTATAAAGTACTTTAAACAATTGATTTCTGCGTCCGACTTTTCGAGTTTAGATGTGTATATAGTAACATTAATATAGCTATTTACCCTATCCCCCTTGCAACTAGAGGATATAGTAATAGGATAATCCTACTGAGAATTGTCCGCATTAGGTGGACCCACAAAATGGCTATTATTGTCTTCAATGGATTTCTTGTGATGATCCAACAAATAGAGAAGATAGGTGAAGGTGGTTTTGTAAACATGGATTATAATTGTTTGCCGTAATTATTTTTGGAGGAAAAGTGATTATGGAAATAACTATGGATCCTCGATATTTTTTATATGAATGAACATAAAATATATTTGACTCCAAATAATTACAGAGATAATTTGGCAACTACTATGGTATTACAGATATGGCAATTATCATTTATTAAGAAGGGCAATTATGGTGAACAACTATAACATAGATTAATGGTTTAAATGAATTAAAATTGTTGCGTTGATACATAATAATTCACAAAATATTTAAAAGGATTTCTTAATGAGATAAAAAATATCCAAACAAATTTAATATTTGTGACCGAAAAAAAGTCATATTAATATTAAAATTAACTGTTAAAGCCTGATTGGGACAAATCAAATTTTTTTATGATTCACATCAACAACACATTCTACTAACTTTCAAGGATCCATGAGCGTTAAAAGTTATTTGTAAATTATTTCATTGGAGCTAATTATCAAGTTGTAAATTTTAAAAGAGCAAAAATCATAAATAATCGACAGCAGCAATAACAATTACTAACAGCCGGATGCATTTCAGAGATTTTTATGAATAATACTTTAAATAGTGATGTTACCATTGCTCATCAGTCCAGCTTAGGTTCAGCTCAATCCAATTTTAGAGTTCAAGCAGATTAAACTTTTTTGACAAAACAGGCTTTTGAGCAATCAAATTCGAAATATAAGTCACGTACGTAATATGGCTATATAAATATTCTTAACCATGCTATTTAGAGCTAAATTTATTCGAACCAACAATCATATTGTTTTTATTGTTATGCACAATAAAATAAATGTTACATGTCATTATGCATATTATTTACCGTGCTAATAAATCAAACTATTTATGATATATAACTGAAAGCATGTCTAATTAAATCAAGTTTGTGTTTAAATTATGCTGATTAACTTTAAATATTACAACTGATAAAATTCATAATGTAATTTCAATTAACAATGGATGGAAACGCTTTTAATAAAATCACCACAGAAATAACAGCTAAAAACAATATTAATGAAGGCAACATTGTGTGATCCATGGGAGAAGATGTTTAGAAACGGTCTCCAAGTATTTTTTAGGTATGCAAATTTGGTCTTTTTTTATTAGGCTTTATAAAATCTTGTGTTTGGTAGGGTAATCTCATTTTATGAACAACATTCATGGGTTGAAAAGCCAGCATTATTTTTGTTAAAGCCAATATTCATATCACAATGCTGTTTTCACATGAAAATTATGCAACAATTCATATCACACCACAAGAAGTAAAAAATTTTTAAATATATATAAATGGAAATATACACTATTGATTAATATGCAAGATGAAACTCTTCATGATTATGAGTCTAATATGTAAATTACCATATTTAGAAGGTTTAAGGAATTTAAATGATTTGGTTCATCTAAAAGAAGTGTAACAAATTAATATTCATTCACGGGCTTTGATTATTCTATCATTATTTAACTATTTATTTATATATTACAGATCTAAGATTATCATGTCCAGCAAATTAGACATTAATATTAAATAAAGATGATATACATATGTCCTCATGGCTAGCTAAAATTGATTAGATTAAAATACTTCAGGGTGGTAGTAACATTAAAAAAGATTTCAGGGACACTTAAAACTCCAAAGTCTACTGTTCAACGTCATGTGAATCCAGAAGGTTTAATAGATGCACCAAGAGGTAGCCGCTCAAGGGTGTTGAAAATTGATGATCAAAAAACGTTGAAAGAAGTTTGGAATTTTTTTCTAGAGTTGCTTGCAATAAATTCCTTATCATCAAGCGGCAAAGGGAAAATCGACTGATGTGATGCTAAGTCCCACAACCTATTGCGCCATAAAGATGATTTTGGAGAAATTGCGATAAAAATTGGTTGGCCATGTGATCATTTCATAAATATAAACCTGCAATAATATATATATATATATACTACGATTAAAGTGTCTGTATACAAACATTGCATTAATTAATTTTTTCAGAAAGAATTATTACGCGACCATTATCATCATTAATATTAAAAATTCGACTTGCGTAGCTTTAGTTAAATTGTACACATTCAATTATTGTTGAATTTATTTCTTTTTACCAGTGATAGAAATTCAACATCAAAATATTTTAGTTGATATTACTGTAATAATACTATTATTACAACATTGCATTAATTAAATTTTTTTCTTTTCAAAAAAAAAAAAGGATCTATGGTAAACGGATACAATCAGAAAAAAATTGATATGCGACCGTTATTATTGTCATTATCACATTAACTTCTTTCTTTATAAATTGTTATTTGATATTAATAAAATAAAAAATTTATTGTCATTATTAACAAATATAATAAATAAATAGCTTTTACTGTTTTCCCCAAGTGTAATAAAGTCGTTAAGAGGATATACATAGTGAATCTCGATTTGGCGGATACTAATTAAAATTTTCAGTTTTTACGGATAAAGTTCAAAGAACGGTTCCATAATAAACCTTAATAAAAACCTTCTCGATATAGTGAATATCTCTAACAGATTTTGGAAAATTTTCTCTAATTGCCGCGAGATTCACAGTGTAACTTAAAAAAGGTCAATTAGATGTGATAATTGGGACAAAAATTTGGCCAATGAAATAGTTTGTGATCTTTTTTTCGATAATAATAAATGTAATAAAAAAAAGATGTTATTGACTGCGTGAAGAAGGTTTGTCTTTTCAAGTAACATTTGATAAAAAATAATTTACATCACCTTTTTTTTTTCCTGAATCTATTTTTTAAAGGATTCACATTTGTATGCTGGTTAATTTATTCTTGTGAGAAAATTGGTTAAGGAAAGTATGTATATGTACACACATCTGGCAATCTGCAATATTCAGCACCGGACGAGTTGTGCTCAGTGCTCATAACCCTGCAGCTGTTGTATAGAGCAAGGTTAAAAGGCATACCCTCTTTGAGGTGATACATCTTGTTGGATGGACTTCCTTCTAAAGCCGACTCCTTTGGTCTTGTGTCTAACATATTGGACATAACTCTTCCTACGCTCGTGTATGCCGAGCCAAGTTTTCTCAGCGCTTAACGACCCTTGCGACTGATGTTTGGTAGAGAAATTCAGAGGATGACCCTCTTTGATGGAGTTCATTCTACGGATTGAACTTCCTCTTAGTAGCCAATTCCTTTGTTTTCTCTACCAAAAGTATTATGTCTACTGATTTTTTTTTTTTTTTTGTCTATACGTCATGCTTTAAAATTTTCTCATCTAGAAATTATCGATTAGCATTGCAGGAGCCTTTGCAGTGTTTAGCAGAGAATGTCAACTATACAAGTTCAAACCCAAGGACGTTTTGTCAACATATGCAAAATTGATCTATACACAAACTGTTCTTTCTACAAATCAGTGCAAAGGAAGGCCCAGAAGCTTTGCGGTGATATGGAACCAATACTGATAACGGCCGGAAATTAAAAATCTTCTCAAAGATCAAGCAAAATATGAAATATGCTCAGGTTAGTCAAATAATAAATCTGCACCTGATGAATTTTTTTCCATTGACAAATAATGTGCATTACTATAGGAAATGTATGACAAAAGCGTTGAATTAAGTGTTATTTACTGACAAAGTCAACAAAAGTAGAAATGAGCAATGAAAAATACGAGACAGGTGTATTGTTGTCAACATCATTCAAAAACGTACCTCTAGATTTGTCCGACACATATTCACATATTCAATTTTTGAGGTACAGCGGATCACATAGTTTAAGCGAAGACAAGGACAAGGAAAACGTTAGCAATGATGATGCATTATTTCAATAGAGAGAAAATTGGTAAGTGTAAATATAAATTTATATGCTGCGCTTTCTTACAAAATATGATGATAAAATCAAAAACGTCTTCCATATTATTCGTTTACGAATGCATGATGGTGACAAATGACTACGTACGGTATCTGACAATAATAATAACAAGAAAAAGAAAGCAAAATTAGACAATGTTTCATTTTTTGAGTAACAATAAGTTTATAACTATCTGATAATTTCTTCATTTTATTATTTCAGTTGATAATGGATGGATGGGGAACATTGATGAAAATTTGGGATTTAAATGGTACGTTTAAATGACGATGTCATGTTTAAGTTAAACATGATGATGATATTCTATTATATGAATGATTATTAGTTTTGATTCCCTTCATGTTTAATAATCAAATTTAAAATTTTAATTAATAAATAAAAAAGTTTGTGAATTTAATTGAATGAATTTTATTAATGCAATATTAGTGTTATTATTGTACATTTTTTTCTTAAATATAAATTTAAACAATAATTATGTATAAATACATTATTATGATACATTTTCTTTTTTGCTTATTAATAATAAATAAGACACCAAATGATTTATTTTTACTTCATCAACCAACACCCTGATGAAAGTTTACACGCCTTACATTTATCCTTATCGTGTAATTGTATGGCAATAGTTTTAAATATTGTATCAACTATTTCAGCACGTAAAAGCAACGAATGCTTTCCGCCTTCTATCAATGTTAACTTACAATCGGGCATATTATTTTCCATCCATTTTACTGCTGCTACAGGAATACGGTCGTCTTTTGTACCATGAAATACATGTACAGGATGATCAATATCTGTATATGAGAATCCAAACGAATGTCGCCTCTCGAAACACATCATCAAATCATTATTTGCTCCTGATAAATTTTCTGCAAACGATGCTTTCAATATCGCCATTCCTAATTTTTGTTTGTTCTCAAGGCTTGAAGTTGGTAATGCCGAAGCTCCTGAATTCCTTTGGTGTGATGGTTTTGTTGAGTATGGTTGTTTACCATTAAGTATTTGTTGTAGGGAAATGCCTGCTGTATGTGTAAATTTCATTATAGGTGTGGGTACATATTTAAGCCACTTGAAATTATTCGTTACTGTTGTACTGATCCATGGACAAACAAGATAAATAGTTCCTTGAAGCTTTTCTGGTATTTTAACAGCACATGCAAGTGCATATGGTGCTCCTGCACTGTGTGCCATTATAAAAAATTTATCAATACTAAGAATCTCACAAAGTTCTTTGATAATATCTAAAAAAAATTTTATTATATTAATATATTAAATTAGTTTATCTATAAAATCTTATTATTCTTTCTATGTATCATCACTATCATCACTATCATTACTACAATATTAATTATCCTTGTTTAACTTTTCATGCTGACTTTATATCATTTGCTTTTTTCCCAACATTTCTAATAATACGAATAATGCATTAATAATTTTTTTCAAGGCACCTCACCTAATTAGGACCCCAAAACTTAAAAAATTTTAAAACAATATTTCATGTGTTCATTACAAGTTTTCATGGGTCCTAAAAATTAAAAGTACCTATAAAATTTATTAATGTCTTATAGGAAAAGCAAATGATACATTGATATACATGATAAGAGATTCTTTTCTAAACTGGAAATAAATATGTTCACATAGACAGATAGATTGATTGATTGATGATGATGGATGAATGGAAATTTATACGATAAATAAGTTATTAATTATTAAAAACAAACCTGGCCATTTTAATATGTGTTGTTGATCTTCTTTAACATCATCTGAAAGTCCAACTCCGGGTCGATCAGGACATAATAGTCTCAATCCATAGCTAGATGCCAAGTCATCAAAAAACGCAATAAAATATCTTACACACCCCATCCCAAGAAAAACAAACACCGGGAACCCATTCCTATCACCAACTTCGGAAAAACTAACAACTCTTCCTGATTTTAATCTAACACGCTGTGTTAAGCGTGGTGCAGCTAAAAAAGTAGTAATACATTCATTAGCATCATTTGATGTGGACGGAGATTGTAATGATGATGATGATGAGCTGGTGGTTGAACTCGTCGTAGATGGGGAACTAAGGGAAGACTGTGATGAAACTGAAGGATGATGATGATGATCTGTGATTGCGATTGATGGTAGAGTTGAAGGTGACTCTGAGGGTGGTTGTATTTCAGAGAAATCCTTATTGTCTTCTTCACATGGTGTAGATTTAGAATATGAGATTAGATCACCAGCCAAACTAGTGTTTAAAGTATCATCAATACGTGCATCTGGTTGAGAGGTTTTTTTATTATTTTTAATTGAAAGTTCTGATTTAGGTCTTTGTTTAGATTTTATCCTAGAAGGTGATAATGTGCCAGATTTTTTTTTAGACAATTTAAGAGTATTTGATGTAGAATTGGTATTTAAAGATGGTTTATCGTTGTTGTCGTTGTTGTTATCATTATGATTGTTTTTTGATTTATCAAAGCCTACGTTAGAAAATGATCTCCTGATTGTATTTGAAATGCTGTTAATGCTGTTATTATTTTTCGAATCAACTTCCAACATCTAAAAAAGTATAAAAATAAGATTATAAAATTCCATTCGTTCTGAAAAATAGATTTAGAATAATTGATTTGATTTAAAATTTACCATGATATTAAATATTTATCTTCGAATAATATATAATATATAGTATATATATTTTACTGTAAAGAAAAATAATTAATATTTTGATTTCTCTTGATATTTTATTAAAATAAAAAAGAGTGCAATATCACATTAGAATGAAAATGATATGGAAAAAAAGAAAAATTGAATGCAAAGTTATGTACAATATAATAATAATAAAGAACGAATTAAAAAAAGAAATATAATTTATATTGTACAACATCAGAGATTGTTTAGAAAACCTTTTATAGCAAAAAACAATAATATAAAATTCCCCTCCAAAATGAAATAGCAAGTCCTTTAAGAATTAGAAAGTGATAAATAATAAAATATTTTTATTATTTATTATTTAATTAACAATCAAAGAAAATTGGTTTCAATTATCAACACAATGAAATTTGTTCGCTACAATATCTTCCTTTTGGGATCGTCAGAAGCATTCTCAGTTGGTGTTGGAAAGTAAAATCAAGCCAGTGGGTTCACACGAAATTGTTTCCAACCAGCATTCATTGTTGTTTCAAATCTACACACACAAAGAAGATTCTCTCTGGTATAAAATTTTTTTCGCTCAACGCCTTAAAAAGTATTGCGAGATAACATTTCTGATGATTTAGTAAGATCTGAGCTTCGTCTAATATCCGAGCATCACATATATCTTAATTTCACGTCTATGTCTCCCCACATAGTCTTTTCATTTATAATGGTTCGTATCAGCATCCATATACATAGGCAACCCGTTAAAATGAATACGCCTATAACAATCTCACAAAAAATAGAAATATGCATTGAAAAAAATAATAACCCAAACATAAAAATAACCAGCTTGCATCTAAATATAATGTCAGCGAATCTACTGTTTCTGAAATTCTAAAAAAAAAAGAGTGATTGTTTTTTATCATTGGATCCAAATCAATTCACTGCAAATTCATACCATGAGAGATCAACAAAATATCCAGAAAATGGATCAAATCCTAAATTTTTAAATTTATTACCCTGTTTATGACTCTAATAATAATAATATCTTCGGATTATAAAAAAACCCCCCTTAATCTGAAAAAAAATAGACATTTTAAAAGAAGGGTTCACAAGAATAAATGAATAAGAAAGATCTAAAAAAATTATTTTTCCTGATTATAAATCTGATGTTATTCACAGGCGTCAGATTTAATTAAATTTTCTTGCAACCCATAGAGATTCGTGCTCTTAACACACCTCATATTGAGAAGGCTTTGGACCAAACTTTCCCTCGTCTTCCTCTCAGACCAGGCTTGCTGTTGCCATATGGACGTTGAGGATCAGTATTTGTGTGTTGTACCTCTCTAGAATAAAGTTGGTATCTACAACTGTTCAAAATTCTGCAACTTGGGAGATTGCAACCTGGGTTATTGTTTTGGATTATCCCCGAATTCTGAGTTTTGAACCCCGAGTTGTTGCCTTGTTGGTGGCACACCAACTTTTCAGCTAGCATGCCAGCAGCCTTCTCTGGTCTGGTGCTGTGAGGGAAGATTAGTGAAAGTGTATTTGACAATTGATATAGAATTCATTACATCGTCATATCATTGGTACACCAAGTCAGATTAGCCTTTTGTACATGAGGGTGACTGTAAAGTGTTCAAAGTAGCATGTGTTCTTCAACGCCTGCCAATTTCCGATAATCAAACATCGCATACTTGAATTGTTTCTTCTGTGACAGTCATGCTGCCTTGTAATTATATATTTATATTAATATATTAATATTACTGATTACACAAAGCAAAAATACCAATCATTCATTTGTTTTCATCATGATAAGGATCTTATATTTACCTAGCAAGTCCTACTCCACATTTTTGATTCCAATTTAAGTATTTATAAGCCGAAAAAGACACAAATAAAAAATAGTACCACTGTTATTAACACTTCTTTATTTTGTCATCTTTGAAAAATAATAATAAGATGTTTTTCCGAAAAAAAAAAAATCAATTGCCAATAATAATACACAGTGAATCTTGATTTAGTGGATACTAATTAAAGTTCAAAGAACAATTCCATAATAAACCTTAATAAAAACCATCTCGATATAGCGGATATCTTAGTTTAAACTATTCACTAAATCGAGATTCACTGTGTAGTTTAGTTGTTAATTGCGTTTGTCAATTAAATAACTCTTTTACAAAAATATCAGAATCAAATAAAAAAAAGAAACCAAAATCAAGAGCACAAAGTTATGTGCTTATCATAAGAATGGTGGTGGTGGTGGTGGTGGTGGTTATCACTACTCATCGTCACTCTAGTTGTATGATATAGAAAATTCAATCATTAATTGTAATTATTTTCTTGAAAATAGACTTACTGATGATGTTGACGAAGTTCTATCTATTGATTATAATATATAAAATAGAAATGATACATACTCAGACAAGAGTTCTTTGAACTTATAAATTGCAGATTTTGCAGATCTGATATCCTGGATAGTGTTTTGAGAAGCCGCTTGCAAAATAACATTCAATTGTTCTGTCAATTGATTTGCTTCAACCAAATTTTGATAGAATATATCTTGTTCGTTGATTGCATTCTCATCCAAATTAGAAATTCATTCATTAGACAAATAATCACACGCCAAATGTAGATGATCATTGGTTGGATCAAAATACATTTTTGGTACAACATAAAATTGCATCACCTGAGTAATGATAATACCAAGACCATGCAGTGATTTGAAAAAAAGCCACATAAAGATGTCCTTCCTGGCGGGTGGAGGACAAGGAATTTGGTAGAGTTTGAGGATAAACAAATCCTTTTTCTCTACTTGGTTCCCTTTTCTTGCATGTGTGCACTTTTCAATTGCCTACAATCATAAATTGTAGAGCTTTTTTAAAAATTATTTCCAAATGAATAAATCTGATGTTTATTATAAACAGGGTTGGTATTGGACATGTTCAAATGTGTTGTAATTTGGTGTTTTGATGATGGAGGTTGGGTTGGTGATGAATTTGATCAGGTTGGTGATTGAGATTGGGATTGGGATGGTGGAGTTGGAGTGAAGGTTGGATGGTGGAGTTGGAGTGAAGGTTGTATGGTGATGCTGCTGTTGATCCTACACTTAATATTACTATTACGTGTGGATTATTGTCAGCATATGGTGGTGGTGAATTTGGATTGATAGCCAATGCCAACCCTGATTATGGGTGTCAGATTTATAAAATTTTCCTTTCACCAACAAGCAAGCGTCATGCGATTGCAAACCTC